TCCTTCCACGATCGCGTTTCGCGCGAGGTAACGCCACCACACTACGTGTATTATGTGTACTTTTACTTTCGTCCAGGGGAGACGAGAGCCGTGTGTCGCGACAACAAACGGCTGAAAAAGTTTCTCTCTAGATAAACAGAACGACGTGACGAAGGATTTAAATTTGTCCGTTAAACCGGAAATGGGCGGGAAATCGTGAACCAGGTATTAGAAGCGAATTTGAGGTTAGGTAACGGTAGAATTACTTTTTCCTGTAGATTGTATCTTTAATGGAACATCGAGTTAAAGAATTCTGTCTTTCCCACTTTTATTTTTAGGAAACATCGAATTGAATGGCGGAAAAAAATGACTTGCAACTACCCTAGAAGAAAAAAAATTGGATTTTGCCCCCCTGCCCTTACCCGAGGAAAAAAAGTACGAAAAAAACATACGTGGGAGTCGTTCAAACTAGAGTGCAGATCTTCATGGAAATTCCATGCTTGTAGGCTAATTTACAAAAATGAACGGAAACGTGGTTTCTCGATTAGAAATTTTATGAGGCTAAAAATTAAACTTATTATATATGTGAATTTGCTTGTGTAATTCACTTCGGTACTGATTTAATTATTGTTCTGATTAGGTAGCGGGTTCTATGCATTTATATAAAATAGAATAAAGTGAGGCTTTAATAAAACTAATAAAGTTTCTACGTAAATTAACCTTTATACTACTTGAGCCAAATATAAACAACTCTTCTTTCTTAAACGATCTGTAAGAACCAACATACACCATACACAGTACTGGGTTATTCTCACAGCATCAAAACGAAGTATAGTAATGTCTCGATGAGTGCGACGGAGTTGGGTCCGCTTTGGTGCATTCGTAGTAAGGTTTCCAGCCCCCCATAAATTTTATTTTTGCACAATGCCAAGCCTCTGCTTAGCTTCTGGTTACTCTGTTTCGATTGGTTCCAGAAGGGGACCCTCCCAGTGGTGGGAATAACGCCGTTGTTAGTGTCGCATTCATCGAGAAATTACTGTAAACACTAAACTTACGTTTTAAAGTAATTCCATCCGGTTACCTAATTAATAATTGTACCATTAGTTTGATTATAAAATAAGCTGACGGTATATTCTTCGTACAATTTCAACACCCCTATCATCCCTTAATCGATACCTATCTTAATCCCTCAATATTGAATCCATGTCACCCCTGCAGATACAGAAACAAGTTATTAACGCAATGCCTTTCAAAAGTTTATATGATCCTTTCGTTGCACCATATTGCATAATTTTCCCTAAAAAAGAATCTCAAACACAACTCATTTTGTATCTGTTTTAGTACAAAGAGGAAACTACCCCTTTACAGGCCACGGTCTGCCTAAACGTCTCAAACTCTGAGCTCTCCCACGAGAATAACGAAGAGTTCAAAGCGTCGCAAAATGTCCTCCTCGCTACTGTATCGTTGAAAGGGGGGTCTCGACAGGGGGGATTCCAGTGTCTCGGCTATTCTCTCCCATTCTTTTGGCTCCGGCGACCAGACGTCGAACGCGGTGCGTTCGCGTCGCCACGCTCGAGGGAATTTAAAACGCCGGCTGCGCGCCAAAACGGGAACCCCCGTCAATTGCGAACACCACAGGGGTAGAACCGGGCCAAACAAAGAGAAACAAAAAGGAAAACTGTAACGTCGCCACCTAATCACGGATCGAGAAAATGGAGTGCTTAGTAGAAATGTTCACTCTATGAAATTTTATTATATGCATCTTACACATATTAATAAATTTGAAACAGGGTTCGAAATAGAGATGTTCGATTCCGATTCGATTTTTCATAAGGTCGATTCTCTTGGGTAACACGTCACTGTCATGTTTAACGCATACACTTACGACCGAAAGTATGACACCAGAGTTCATGATTAATGGAACAGTAACTCATTATTCTGTTACGATAATATAAATGTTACGGAATCCGCACGCATGCAAATCACTTCCAATCAGTTTTAACCACAGTGGTCATAACCGGGTATCTGGGTGCCCACTTGGGAGCACGAAATTTTTATTGCTTCCGACAAAATATCTTTAAATCCCTTCAGATCCTCGTTATTTAACTCATTTCTGATTGATTTATGCATTTACAGTGGAAAACATTTGTTTGTTGTCATACAATAATTCGACTTCAATGTTTACAACACGCTTGTTTCATAAGAATAATCATAACTGACATGTAATTTAAGAATGAAACTATAATAAAGCATTGTAAAATGTAATTAAATCAATAAAAAACACAATTATTACTAAGTGGCATGAATTAATAAATAAAACAATTATTTATAGTTGCTTGGTGAACGTAATTGCATACGCACGTACTAGATTTCCAATCTCGATTTTCTCAAAAACTAAGCCTCGGATGAAAAAAATGTTATTTTATATTATTTTCTTATTTTTTCCTGAGGAATCACCTCATGCCCGAGTGTGCATGTTATTTGACCGCACGCTGTATGTGGTGTATTTTATAATTACATACCTCGAAAATTTTCCCGCTGATAATTCTTTCACTCTTCCCCAATAAACTAATACACAATAATAAACTGATTTTAATATTCATCGATGTAAACTACTCTGCAAGCACGTCCGCACAGCTCGACGTGTAATACAAAACTGAACGCTTTCAGTAACTATGTTACTAAATTCCCTTTTTGAATTCAAGGAATGCGACATACAGTTGCTCGAATGGAAAGAAAAAGTTCAAGTCGGTTAGAGGGTTGGAAATAATGGTCATTCGTAGGCAGATACCTGAGTACCCTGGTCCCGAAATATAGGGGGGTTTTTTTTCACGTTACCTTCATTGACCCTTCGTAGAATAATGTTTTCCTTTTTCTTCGATCACCAGACCTGGTCCCATACTTTTGACCGTTAATGTATATATGTGTTATATATGACAGTGACTTGTTACCCAAGAAAATCAAACTTCTGAAGAATCAAATCGGAATCGAAGATCCCTAATCGCCCTTTGGTCCCGCGGAGGAAGACGGTCGCTGCTAATTATCCGCAGTGAATGCTGGCGAGAGCCATGAATATTCATACCTGACATCTTTATCACATGTGTTGAGGGGAAAGAGGGCAAAAATTCGAGTCGTTGCGCGGTGGTTCCTTTTTGACCCAACTTCCGCCGCAATCAATAGCCATTCGACCATACAGACGTATAATAACTAGACTGGCGTAACGTAAACGTGAAACCAGGCGAAAAAAAAACGAAATATAATGGGTAAACCTGGCGAAAAAGTTAACAAAGTACGGTAAATCGACGATGAGTATTCAAAGGCTCCTCGGTACTGAACATTAAATATATTTCATAAACTAATGGCGATTTGCGGCTGAAACAAGTATTATTGGCTTTAAAATTTCAAGGTCTATCACTGTGCTAAGGTTCGTTAAAAAGTCGGCGTTACACCACTCTCCTTGTCAGTGCCGAGGAACCCTCTAACACTCATCGAAGATTTCCTGTATTGTTTCAGAAAAAACTCGTCTCGCGATTTTTTTTACCGATGCATCACAACAGAATGATTCAGTACTTCAGTTCGAAGAAAAATGACTGTGACATGCTCAGCACAAAATATCATCTTGAACATACATCTTAATCTCAATACGTAAGTCGTTACGGCAGTTTAATATTCGTATGAATAATGTATCGCGTCCTGTCCGTGATTCGTTGATTGGTTGAATTATGAATACACTTTGAGCATTCATTAGGCCTACCAATCAGTAATCCACTATTTTGTTTTAACAGACTGGTAACATTGTTGCACTTCGAAATACCTTCCCGCCATTTCTTTTCCAACGACAATCGAAACTGCAGAAGATGTTGGATAACGGATCAGATCAGATTCGACAGAACACAGTGGATTAATTATTGGCACGCCTAATGTAAGATTAAACTCTAAATAAACCGTATTTTACATTTTTCTATTTTAATTCCTTATTCGTAAGATGGTAATGTTTATTGGAAAACAGAGTTTCGATGAATAAAAAATACGGTCGTAAGATAAAAACCTCTGTATTTGTAAAATTATCGAATCAATGCTTAAAATTTTACGGATAACAACCGAGATCGATACAGTCCTATCCAGCAGAAGTATTATCCTCGACAAGATCGTAGAAGAACTAATTGACTGCTTCCTTGTAACAGTTGTTAATGAACAATATTGCAGTCACGTATCAAGAACAAGATCAACAAGTGCGTAATTAAATTGTCAAAAATTTATTTATTTAAAAAAGGGAATATTAACAATTTTATTATGCAGTTTTATAGAGCATAAAAAGCCATCAAACTTTCATTGTACCAGTTCTTTACTATCGACTATAGTTTTCAAGATATACAAGAAAGTAGGAAAATGCAGATTAACCTTCAACAAATGGTTTCACCCTGAAGAATCAGCAAAAACAAAATTGCCCAATGCTTCTATTGATGTCCCCTACAGATCTACAGACATTAAAAAGCAAGTCGAAATATTCGAATTGTATTGAAGTTCCCTTGTAAGTTCGCAAAATGGCATCCCAAATATTTTACCAATTTCTGTACCCCCCATTATAAATCAACCTTTACGGTGGACGAGCAAGTGAACCATGGAGGATGGTGTGCGTGTCAACGACGTAAATAAAGGCGGCCCGAGGCTCGTTTCATCGAGCCGCTATTTTGTCCACGAAGGGTCGGGGTGCAACGTTCATAAAGAAACGCTCGAAGGCTGTCTGTTCTAAATCTGAGACAGCAGGACATGCCCCCGAGCCCGTTCGCCTCTTTGGAATTTGCGCCGAAACGCCTGTTGCGCATACTATACGGCGTTACCGCGAACCTTTTGAATGATCGCGTCGGCCGCGCCACCCTCGACTCTTTGGTTGAATTTTATCAACCGCGAGAAAATGCTCTTTCGTCGAGATAGTGCCTGCCTCTACCGTTTCCTGCTAAGCGGCGGTCAAACGAAAATCTAACAGATGATCGATAATAAAAAGAAGGGAAAAAAAACGACTATGGTTCTGACAAACTGGAAGTGAAGTTCTTGTTCTGATTTTTCAGATTTGCTAGCGCAGCCTGGCAATCTTTGAGTGATATTGTTAATAGACATATGTCGACTCACAGAATTGATCACCGAAGACTGTTGGGCTTATTTGTATTTGAAATAAAAATAGATTTATCACGGAATGTTGGTAAAAGTGAAGACAATCGGGATGAATAAATAAGAACAATGTATGTAGATACTTTAATGCTTAATTCCTCTCACGAGTGTGTGTAAACAAACGTGTGACTCACTGCGAATAAAAGAAATATGTTCGGTTTTCTTGCGAGCATATAAATACCTAAAACTTGGATCATCCTTTCCAAAATGTAACGTTCACTTTTTATCCTCTGCATATCAGTTCTCATCGTCAGTATTCTCGTCTATGGATGACATAGTCGAAGGTTTCGGCAAATATTTGTCGCTAAAAATTGTCAATCCAAAAGTAACCAACGTATACGAGTGTTTCCGCTAACGGACCATCGATGAATGACGTTCATTCCCGTAGGTTTTATCACGAGCACGTGGTATAGCAGTAGCACGATGTTAATCTTTTCGCCACGAGCGTTTTGTGGCTGTCGATACTAGTAGTACTAGTTCCAGCTGGCTATCATGGAAATTACGAAGTAATGAAATCATCTAAACCCATAATGCTCATACGTTGCGGCACCGAGGAAGAATGAGACCGCGTGTACCTGTAACTTCGGAAGTGGACCGAGTCGAAAGAGCGAGAAGGAGCGATACATAGCACGGGAAGAGTGAGCGTGAGGGAGGGAGAGAGAGATGTAGCGTTAGCAAGGGGAAGTGAGAGAGAGAGGGAAAGAAATATGGCGGGCAAGTAACAGAAAGAGAGAGAGAGAGGGCAGACAACGTGTAACAACGTTGGTGGGAGAAGGAGGCGAGGAAAGGACGATAGATTGCGGACACGAAAAGAGAGGGAGAGAGTTGAAAGCGAAAGCGAGAAAGAGAAACGGCGAAGAGTGAGAGTGAAACAAACAGTTCGAAGCAGAAGAAAGAAGGGAGTTTGGCAAGCGGTACGCTACGGCAACAAAGAACTCGGGAGCATAGAAATGAGTTGTTGAGGTTACCTGAGGCATCATTCGCTGGTAGATCGGTGACCAGGGCAGCCCTTGGTCGTGAGTGTGATTGCTGCTGCTGCTGCGCCTGTTGCTGCTGTACCTGATGAAGGTCCGGCTGCTGAGGTCCCGTCAGAGGCAGATTAACCGCGGTGGTGTTCGAGGCATCATTCGTTGGTTGATCGGTGACCAGGTCAACCCTTGGTCGTGTGTGTGATTGCTGTTGCGCCTGTTGCGCCTGTTGCTGCTGCTGCTGCTGCTGTACCTGATGAAGGCCCGGCTGCTGAGGTCCCGTCAGAGGCAAATTAACCGCGGTGGTGTTTTCAGCCAGGATCGTCGGTATCGTGGAGGAGGAAGACGACGATGATTCCGTAAGGGCTGTCGCGGTGGTGTTCTCGAGGGCCGTGTGGCCCCCACCTTCCCCTGTCCCTGTAGCCATTCGGCCCTCGTGCATTCCAGCAGACAGACAGACGGGGGTCCCTCCTCCTGCACGTCGTCCCCGAGCGCACGCACTTCTCTCGAGGAACACCTACACTCTCTTACGTGCCCTCGCTCTCTTTCTCGCCCCCCGTCTATCTATCTGTCTGTCTCGTTTTCTTTCTCTCTGCTAGCCGAGAGAAGCGCGCGGCTCGGTTTTGTTCCTTCTTTCTCTTTACCTCTATCACACGGCCTGTTCCCTCTCTCGGTCTCTATCTCTCTTTATATTTCCCTCTCTCACTCGCTCTCACGTCCGTCTCGTGTGCGCACGCTCTTGCTATCCTCCTCTCTTTTTACTACTATACGCTCCCCGCGCCGGCCAGCGCCGTCTGAGCGTACCGAAACTACACCGTCTCTTTCAACGAAACATCGGTATATCACACAACAGCGACATCACACACGCCCGCGGAAAAATGAGCCCCGCGCGGATTATTAACCTCCTGTCCGGCGGCTCGAAAAAAATCGAACGTTAGACAAATGTAGGTCTGTAGGCCACTTCACTTACACTTTGCATCGGGACGGGCACTCCCTTAGTCAAGCGAGCGTCCGGCGCACCGTTGCGCTCTGACAGCACGAGTTCCAGGACCGTACTCTCGTCTCGTAGCCCTGCGAGCCGTCGGCTCCGAAATCACTTTCCTCGATGATCGCCTTTCGATGGATGCCATCGCTGAACTACATCTATGACCCGCTGATCTCGCGGCTTCTCGTCCGATTCTAATGTAACGAAACGTTCCTCGACTATATTTACGTGTTGTTACATATGCTGTATTCTTATGTACAATTCGAGCCGAATATAGTATACAAATGTTGTTTCCAAAACTTCTATAATGTATGTATTATTTCACAATCTTCCTGTTAGTCCTGATATTTTAAACATCTTGGCGCGTGCATTAATGTGTAGTATGAAAAAGTAATCTTTTTTAACCATTGAAATTAGTTTTTCGCCGCTTATCAAACAACTACATTATGGATATCTTAATTAAATGTCATTCTAAATACGATTGTAATTTTCAATGAAAATATTGCTCTTATTCCACGTGCATATATATGTATAGTGCTAAGGCCGTTAAACTATTTATGCATAAAATCTTCATTGGTTGTAGATAAATATCGTGTACAATTCACAAGATTTTCATTTATAGTAATATAAATACATCCAATACATGTAAATTGGTGACGATATAATTTGCGCCCGTTTAGTAATTCACAGGTACGGCAGTGGATAACGAAAGGGAAAATGCTAAACTGATCCTCGTAAATGTCACTAATCGTGGAGAGTATTCAAATGTATTTTACTCGTTTCAAATACAATATTTCGAGCACTCAGATAGTCTGGTAATGGTTCGCTCTTAACTTTCTAATATCAAACAGTAGAAGATAAAGTAATTCAAAAGAAGGAACGTATCGACCACTGTTTTATGTGGGTACCAGGTTTTACTAGTGACGGCACTGTGTTCCAATAATGTATCGCGGAAAGACGCAATTTCCGAAGGATTTTTCTGCTCTCTTGTGTTTGCAAGCATTTAGAATCTGCAAATTGAAAGGCTGTCAAATGCGTTTCTTGCGTTTTAAATGCTGTCAATTTACCACTGTCTTAAATACGACGATACTGTCTAAGTAGGTCAGGTGTCACAATATCTGGACGTCCTATTATGGGGCGCTTTTACACCGAATGTTGCATAACTCGTCACGCACGACTTCACCAAATATAACCATGTAAAAACTATGGCCTGACGGACATAATGCGATGTAATCCCTTTTCATTGTACAATACACTTGACTAACGCTTTCGGAGAACGTTTGCAGCGCTATCTAGCATAGAAGAGCGCGTAATACGAAACATTCAACAATCATATTACGTGCTTAGTAACATTTTCCTGTAATTGATTTAAATAGTAGACGGAAGTATGGCAAGATGTAAACACTGCATTAACCAGTCGTAAAATTTTTACTTTTAAAGGAGAATATATAAATTGTTATAAAAATATATATGTATACGTGTGTTACAACAATAGTATAATTCTATTACAATAATTGTCGTTTTTAAGGTTCATATAAGGTTTAGTATTTCCTTATATACAGATTTTGAAAAGCATTTAAAAATATAAAATGCATTTAAGATGAAATTTCAATACTTGTAAATCATATTAAGGATATGATCGTTTATGTACTTCTTTGTTTAGTCTCATTAATGATTTGACGCGAAATAATTAGTCTTTGAATTTGTGCAGTACCCTCGTAGATTTGATATATCTTTGCATCTCGCATCAATTTCTCTACCGGATATTCCGTGTTAAAACCAGCGCCACCAAAGACCTGAAAAACGTTTCAAACGTAAAATAATAAATTAAAATCGACACATTAAAAAAAAATATATGTTGTTTTACTTAATTACGTACTTGTACAGCATCCGTTGCACATTTATTAGCTATGTCACCGCCATAGCATTTTGCAATGCTGGCAAGTATTGTTGTTGTTGGAAGACCTTGATCGGATGCCCAAGCCGCTTTCATCCACGCAAGCCTAGCCGTTTCAACGCCAATTGCCATATCCGCTAGAAGAAATGCTACTGCTTGGTGTTCTGCGATTGGTTTATTGAAGGTTTTACGTTCCAAAGCATATTTTGTAGCTTCATCTAGTGCTCTTTGAGCTAAGCCAACAGAGCCGGCTGCCACCTGTAAGAATAATAAAAGAAGTGAACAAAAACAATATTCAAACTCTTCGATGTTATTACTTGTTGTAAAAATCATCTTTTTTTATTGTACCGGTGGTCTAGTCTTATCAAAGGTTTTCATAGCAATTTTAAAACCATCGCCCTCTTTGCCTAAAACATTTTCTTCGGGAACACGGACGTCTTCGAACGTTATCATTCGTGTATCGGATGCTTTTTGGCCCATGTTTATTTCCTTCACATACCAAAATAAAATGTTTCATAATAAAAAATAAAATCACCTTTAATTGAATATGTCTTAGATCATATGAAGACTTACCTTGCGACCGGGTGTTAAGCCCTTGCTTTCCCGTTCAACAATGAAAGCTGTAAAGGCTTTATTAGGTGGCGCTTGTGGATCAGCACTTGATCTTGCTAATACGAAATACCTAAACAATTGTTACGTTTTAATATATTACATACATAATAGCTTTTTCCGAAATTTATTAATAAATTAATTATACCAGTTAGCAACACCACCATTTGTTATCCACATTTTCGTTCCATTAAGGACCCATTCCTTTCCTTTCTTTTCAGCCTTCAATTTGATACCTGATACATCTGATCCAGCACTAGGTTCAGTAACACAGTATGCCTATAATTGTTATAGTATGAAAATAAAATTCTGAATTGTTAATACATGTACAATGAAGTTATTATTCAGTTGTCTTACAGCTACAAGTGGTTCCTCAAGAAGTCTTCCAAGGTATTTCTTTTGTTGCTCTTTTGTTCCAGCTATAATTACTGGAGCTTGCTACAAGTAAAATGTATTTAAAATATATTTAAAAGTGTTATTTAATAGAACTTACACCTAAACCAGATCCCTCTAGTGCTGTTTGTATTCCTGTACAACCATAAGCCAATTCTTCAGCAACTAAACATCCATCAAAAGTACCAAATTCCATGCCCCCTGTAATAGAAACATCTCATAAATCTAAAACTTTTATAGTCACATATTTCTTACATTAATTTTGCGATTACAAGTCAATAATCGTACCACAGTGTTGAGGAATTTGCTTATTTAGAAGTCCTACGCTCCATGCTTTCTTAACAATATCCCAAGGATATTTTCCAGTTCTATCATATTCAGCAGCTACTGGAATAATTTCTTCCCTTGTAAACTTCCTTGCTAGTTCTTGCATCTCTCTTTGAGTATCTGATAATTCTATGACACAAGTAAAATATGTGAAAGTATTTGATATAGTTAAAAGCAGAATAATATGAACCACAAAATAAATTATATATAAAACTGTAATACAATATAATTGAATTATACTTATTATACTAACCAAAATTATATCCTGTAGCATGTGCTGATTGTGTTGAGAATGCTTGCATCAACTTTTGACATGATACTCCTTTTAGTACCTACAAAATATGTTATCCTCAACATATTCTTAAAATATCTTATAATTAGGTAATTACTTTCTTAATAATATACTAATGCTAATTAAATGATGTATTATTAATAAATACTTAATTATTGCTTAATATTATTAGTATTATTTAATATTTCATATGCCATTTCGATCGCACATTTAAAAATTTTTTTATACATATTTACACCTTTCAACTGACTACTTACCGATCGTGAAAGCATTTTAATACTCCTTTATTTCTACTGTACTAACAAAATTAGTTTTAACAAGAATGTTTCAGTGTCCCAGATATATTTGAGTATTCGTTCAACTCACAAACTTCTTATATTCAAGGATTCCTTAATCTGTTATCGTTGAAAATCAAAAACACTGACAGTTTCGAACTGCTCGAAAACACTTTACGTAGGACAGATGCTAAAGTTCAAGCAGATGAGAACTTCGGTGGTCAAAGTACGATCAACATTGTCAAATTATACTCATCATTCATATGCACTTTAGTCTAAAAGAACATTCATACGTACTTGAAATGTTTGCAGTATAACTATTTCACACGTATCTATTTACAGAAAACTCGTAGATAAAATGCTGATTGGTTATCTCTAGGTACACTTCTACGAGTTAAATTTATTCTTATGTATTGAAATTAAACTGTACTTGACAACACAAGAAATAGGAAACAATGTACATAACTACTTGCTGTATTTACATTTTTTTCTCATCTCGAACAATTAATTGTTCTGGACAATTACAAATAGGTCATACATGTAAATTCCTTAAGGGTTTTCAAAAATGACAACATTCGACAGGAAAAATTATATATTACTTTGTACTAGTTCTAGCATTCATTATTAAATACAAATTTTAACCAGAATTGTTTAAATATAATCTTGTTATTAATCTACAAAATTAGGCGCGAAAATGTTGATGATATATCCGGCATTTAAGTTTACTAAAAAATATGAATGCTACCCTAAGAATTTAAAATAATTCGAAAAACTGAATGCACGAATGTTTTAACAGTAAATTACGTAGTATGTAACAATATCATATGTAACAAAAATCAATTGCCGAGTTATAATAAGAACGTAAATGAATGGAACCTACATAACTGAGAATTGCCATTGATGATACAAGTCACTACATTTTATATGTGAAATAATGTAAAATGAAGTTAAATTAACTACCACATATAATCAATTTAATATAATGTTGGCCAATTCGAACTTGTTAATTCAATAACAATTGCTACTGACAATTGTCTGTCACAATCTTTTCAGCATGAAGATAGAGATTCATCCATTGACAGACAATCCTACAGCAGCCTGGTGTGAATTGTCAAAGGAGCAAAAAGTTATTACAATAAATGCTAAACTTCCTACGACCGAAGCTCCAAATGATAAGGTAAAATTTTACAATCACTTTTTATTGCTGTAACTTGCTATGTATGTCTAACCTAACATCATCGGTATGTTCGCTCATGTGGTGCAACATAAATAGATACGATGGTACAATACAAAGATAGAAGATTAAGAAAGAAAATTTATGATACTACCTATTTAATTATATATTTTAGCTTCGTGTTGTTTGTATGAGTGACACTCATTCCTTAACCCCATTCATAAAATTTGATGTACCTATGGGAGATGTCTTTATTCATGCAGGAGACTTTACAAAATGTGGTAGTTTACAAGAAGTTATAGAGTTCAATAATTGGATCGGTGAGTAATTTATTGTGAAAATGTATCTACTTTGTATTTCTTTTATTAATATAGGTTAAAAGTTCCTTTGTTCTAGGTAATTTGCCACATAAAAATAAAATTGTTATTGCTGGTAATCATGAACTTAGCTTTGATTCAACGTTCACTCATCCGTTCACCATGCACAACAGTGGAGAACGTCAGAAGCACACAGGGACCAGTATTTTGGATAACATACCCACATTGGGTATGTCTAAGGACACATTGGCAGAAGCCATTCAGACTACTAATGTTAAAAATTATTTGACAAATTGTACTTATTTAGAAGATTCTGCAATTACAATACATGGTATAAAAATATATGGCACTCCATGGTAAATATGTATATGTACATATATTGTTTTTATAAAATTGTATTGAATTATAACAATATTAGTGTTTTTCCAAAATATTTTGTTTTTCAGGCAACCAGAATTTTGTAAATGGGCATTTAATGTTCCCCGTGGAGAAGCCTGCCTTTCAAAGTGGGAAATGATACCATCAGATACAGACATTCTTATAACACACACCCCTCCTGTAGGACATGGAGACTTGTGCTGTAGTGGTGTACGAGCTGGATGTGTAGAACTGTTGTCTACAGTACAAAATCGAGTTAAACCGAAATATCATGTCTTTGGTCACATACACGAAGGTATATAAAAATTTTCTTTGTTCCAAAATAAATTATACAATACTGTTTTTTTACAGGATATGGTATTTCATCAGATGGGAAGATAATATACATAAATGCATCAACATGTGATCTAAATTATTTGCCAAGTAATCCACCAGTAGTCTTTGACATAACACTACCATCTGGTGTTTGTAAATCATAAAAAGTAACGAGTGTAGTAATAAACTTCATAAGGACATTTCTTACGTGAATGATGTTAAAAAAAAAAATAGAAAATTTAATTTATTCATCAGTATATTTTTATGCTTTTTCTACAAATTGCTTTTTTAAATTAGATATCTTATTAAAAAAAAAAAGGGATATTACAAAGCGGATTCAATAAATTATAATTTTGTGATAGTAGTATTTACATTGTGATATTGAAGAAAGTATTGAAATTCGATTTGTCGTACAACTTTTTTTTTACAAATATAAAAATATTACTGTCATCATAGTATTCTTATTTACGTAAAGTGACATGTAAATAGAATATTTTTTTTTACTTAAATAGAATTTCAGTTTAAGTTGTTTTAGAACAATTTTAACAATACGTGTTCAAAGGAATTATAGGAATCTTATACGATGAATTTTATAAGATTCTTATAACATTTTATTAAGTTGTTGCACATAATACTATAAAACAAGCGATAGATTGTTACACAATCTCATTGTGTCGGAAACTTATGCATAAGCTCTTAATTATATTATAAATCGCACTTATTATATTATTTATTATATTCGATAAAATATAATGAAATATGAGTATTATAGTGCAACATATAGACCGCAGAACGATATATTATAGTTGATAGCGTTAATCGAACTAGTCCATTAATTTGATATTTAACTAATGAAATAATTGTATTTGGGGACACTTGCTTCAATTACGTTTCATACGAAATTATAACTTCTAATACAATAATATATTTCTAAATACTCATACATGTTTAAAGATCGTAATTATGGCATTCAATTAAATTAACTTTATATTAATAACAACATAATAATCGTGTATATAACTTTTCCAGTACATTAATAAAAAATTAGAAATCCATTTTTTAAAGACATTTATTATAACACTCAATTGATTAACAGGTGGCATTTCTTTTTTTTATCGAATTAAGAAAAGTTTGCACATAAACAATGCTGTATGTATATTGACTTATATTTTCATATTATATTGGTCCGAAGCTGAGTAGATGACTGTAAAGTCAGATTCCTCTATTAAACGAGGACAGATTATTTTCGGCAATAGAAATACGTTTGTATAAATAGCGCATTTTTGTTTTCGTAAAAGTTGTGGTCGTAAAAAGATAGTCGAAAAAAATATGCCTTTTCAACATTATCTTCTTATTGAATACGATGTAGTAGACGCAATGTATTAAAATACGGTACTCACATCACATTAGAATTGTAAAAGCTAGAGTCTTCTCGACACTTTGTAATTACCGTGTGAAAAATTTTACATCGATATTGCAAACCTTCTGCACATGTCTGTAAAAATCAGATATGCCTCTAATGGCGTAGTTGCTTTGCACGAATGCTGTATGCATCCATGGCAATACTTTCTATCCTGAATTAGATAATCAGGATAAATGCAGTGTCATTTCATACCGCGATAACAGATATACTTCACATTTAACGTTGTGAATATACCATCCTAAATTAAACGACATAATAACTATACTCTAAACGGAATAGTAATATATTCTGCATTTTAATGAGCAGCCTAGCAAAAAATTTTATTATCTTTAAACAATTTCATTCTGAGGATTCTTGTTCGTATCTATTAATTATCAACTTACTTCTGTTCAAAATAGACAATACATTTTATCTACCTAATGTCTCACTTCCTACACGTCTATCAAAAATCAAAACAAGAAAAAAAAAAAGAGGAGCACATATGGTTTTCAATTTAAAAATAGCATACGAGTGCTTATTTCGAAAATTTTTCCTGTAGGCAAATTAGTTTAAACTGAGCTATGAATAACAGTAAACAGGTGTAAAAAGAATACAATTCTTCTTACACAGTTCCATAGAGTACAATACCAGACAGAGTTGTATCTAATACGGTACATTCGAAAACAGGTACGATACAGATTCACCATTGTGAGTCCGCCTTACAGCTTCAGCGAACATCATTGATACATCAATGCACTGAAAGAAAAGAAAAAAAAAAGGTATAAATTATATCCTACCGAGTATGATTTTTACTAGTGAATGCACATTTAATTTGTTAACGTCATTTGTGCACCTGTATTTTCGGACAATCCTTCATATGACCATCTTGAGGAATGGTATTCGTTACTACAACAGCCTCGAAGCATGCATTATTAATTCTGCTGATTGCCGGGCCACTGAAGATGCCGTGCGTCAAAATTGCATAGACTTTTGTTGCACCAGCTTCCAGGAGTTTTTCCGCTGCATGGCAAATAGTGCCACATGTGTCAGCCATATCATCTACTAGAATGGCAACTCTGTCCTTCACATCTCCAACTAATACCATACTAGCAACTTCGTTTGCCTTCTTTCTTTCTTTGTGTATAAGCGCAAACTCGACATTTAAGCGGTCAGCGATAGACGTTACCCTGATTAAATATGGAAGTTCATTGATATATACTTTAAAATATCGTTAATTTTTATATTACCTTTTAGCACCGCCAGCATCTGGTGAAACAATAATGCTGTTTCGCCATTCAATAATGTTTTCCTTAATCCATTTCAAGACAGCTGGTTCGGCAAACAAATTGTCAACTGGAATGTCGAAAAAGCCTTGAATTTGACTAGCATGCAAATCCATTGTGATGATGTGATCAGCTCCTGCTACCGACAGCATGTTTGCTACTAATTTTGCCGAAATAGGTGCACGACTCTGAAAAACAGATAGTTGCATTTTTTTAATTCGGCGAATTTAAGCGAGTCTCTCAAAGTCCATTTGCAACTGGAAATATCCTGTAATTTGAAAAAAAAAATTTGTCCGTTAAGAAATTTTTGTGGCGTTGCCGAAAATGTTAAATTAATAAATAAAGGTACGACCCGCTATATGTACTCTGTCTATGAGAAAGACGTGTCAGAGAAGAAAAATGAAAGAATTAATTCTTTAGAGGGGACAAAATATGAATACAATGGCCATATTCTGAAATACTTGTAATAAATTTATTGTACGTGTGTACATAAAAAAAAAGAAAGAAAAAAATGATATGTTGCAAATGCACCCCAGTTAGACTCAACAAAAAGTATAAGTAAAGCAGAGTTCAAACTTATAAATACAAAACGGAACACAGTGCATTCTGAGTCCTAAATTTTGTGTGAGATCATTTCAGGGTATATGGAATAATAGAATGATGTTTTGTAAGTTTGAAGTTATGACAAATATACATAACAAACACATCAATAAATCATAAAAGTTAAAACACGTAACGAAATGAAGTTTACAGAATAATAATAAATAATGCATTGTGCTCAGAGATATGATTATGATTAAGTTATCTTAATAAACTTGTTTATTGTGAGCATGAACTTTACAAAAGCTGCCTAATGTTAACACTTCAACAAAAATTTTTATTCACAAGTCATTTAATTATTATCACATACTATTAATAAGGCGACACAATCACAGTTGTTTCTTGCTAAAGCACTATTTCGTTAATTAGATAGGCGTATTTCTTTTTATTAGTGTATTCGGACAATAACATTTTTAGCAACATAATTAGTACCCATTTAACATACAGGTGTGTACCCCGTTATATGTATATAAATTATTAAAAATGTATTTAGAATGCTATTATATTAATATTTTGCCCTCTCATTCAGATATCAATATGCTTTGATCAAATACTTCATTCATTCATTCATTCATGGGGATACCATTGTGCCGTATAGCAACAATTATAAGTTTTGTTAGTCCTACAAAGAAAATTCCGTAAGAAACTAAAAAAAGTGATATTACAAATCGAATTGTTCATCGAGTTATAGTTACAAACGTTTCACTCGACAATCTAATTGCTCTTATACTCACTGTAGAGAGGTCGGGCACAAAATCCTGAAAATACCCAACTATTCAGAAACTCAGAAGCATGTATTATAAATCTTTTAACGAGAATTATTTTTAATAGTTGTGTAATACAATTGATTTAAAAACCTTCAAGATACTTAGGGACTTATTTGAAAATCATTTACCTAAAGCCAGATTTTATATTACTCTAGTTACAAATGTCTAATAAATGTTTAAAATATTATTGTACCTTGATGGTATTGCATGCTCTATTAAATCTTCATTTGCTAGATTTATTTTTGCATCGTACAATTAATAATATTTTGTATAAATTACAAGAATAATGTGTTTAATGGAAAAATTTAATAGAACAAAACATATCCAATGTATGCAATGATGTACATATTACAGTATGGATGCATGGAAAGCCCCCCCTCGATGAATACTGGTTTTGCAATGTTCACATGGTTTATCGAACTTCTGATAACCCCAGATTATTACCAAACGCAATACTTCAGCTTATAATGTATTTGTTGTTTACTGTTTCATTAATTTGGTGTTTAATACTACAAATCAATATTCTTCCTTCAAGGAAAACAAAGAGCGCTGCAAGATTTTAAGAAATTTCATACACCTTATGTTTATTTATAAAACATAGAATATAAAATGAAGCATTGCAATAATATCACGTGTATGAACGAATAGAAATTAATGCTTTTCAATGATTAATTCATGCAAATATGTGTACGACTGAAATGTTTGAAAAAATGATAACTTTTTTCTTCCTTCAAATTTGAAACACATGTAAAATTTTAGAGTTGTCTTCTAAACTTTATGAAATGTACAGTTAATTCTTGTGGAACAATAAATACCCTTCATTTTCTGTGTGCATGCTAAACTGTATCTCATCATGTGTAAATATAATGCTCAAATTGTTTTCGATATATGTTTCAAACTGCATGTTGCCATTACATAATTTACTTTATAATTTGATTCGCATATCAATGTGTGTTAGTTACGATTTATAAAAATAATATGTATGACATAGGACACAAAGAATAGTCTATAATACAATTGTACCACTTGGTATATCCCAATGAAATAAGCAAGAAAGTTGCAAGCATATTTCATATGATGATGAGAAATCGTGTTTTGCGTTCCAAAAATGATATTGCTCCACTGTCCTGTCGCAAAGCTATAAAACAGTAAATAGAGTATATAAAAAGACCGCTACAAGTTACCCTGAATTTCCACTCGTTTGACTTCATGACAATTTGATTCTTAGAATTTGAGTTGTCACCTCCATCACCACCCTGTGAATATATAATATAAAAAAAATTTAACTTTTTCTTGAACAAGATACTCGTCTTTATCCAGAGATAGCCACATTTTAATTACAGAAAATATGAGCATTCTGATCAAATTGTAACCTATAATATAACGTGTTTGCAGTATGTACAGAATATGATTATTATGTCAAAAATAGTTATTTAAAGGGATAAGCTGATGATAGACACTTAATTACAAAAAGAATACGGGTATATAACAGAATTAAACTGGGAGATTTAGATGTCGTATTATTTATAGAAATTTTAATTATACTACTTCTTTCTACATAAATAGCCATTTTACTTGCATATGCAAAGCATTTTAATTATGTTAATTAATGGCATACATCAACAAGGTGACTATTATGTACCTAGCATATTAGAATCACTGAAGCATAGTTTCTTGTACGTTGTTTAGTTACATAAGTTCTTTATATTCACACAGATTTTTAGCTTTAGTGATGTATAGAGACACTATTACACAAAGCACTTTTTTATTCTATTTGCTCACAAATAATATTAAATTTATTAGAGAAGTTATATTTCTTTAAATAACAAAAAATATTAAATAATAACAATATATATATATATACACAAATGTGTGAACATATATTTACATGTAGATACAGGTATTTTAGATCTAAAAACAAATATTACACACAAAAGTTAAATGAATTATAATAATAATAATAAAATGCTATTACATATGATCCAAGTGTGATATTGATTCATATAAGTACAGATGATGAAATGAGTAATTAAAATTTATACAATTTGAAGTAACAGAAATTCCTTGACACAGATTTTCAACAAATACTTTATACATGACAGTGAAAGTACATACGTATATGTGCTAAAAGATGCCATCTAATGGGGACAGAACTGTAAGATCACAACTAACATAATTGTGATTTTATTAATTTTAAAGAATTATTCTGTTATATTTTTATAACTGTGCTGCATCAGATAACAAAGGATATGACTATGTATTATGAAAAATGTATCTCACCTTGTCCTTTTTGTCTTGTCTTGCATATGGGAAACAAGGAATTACTGCTGTTACACGTGATGCAGATGCAATTTTGCACGCATTGATCATAATCAACAGTTCCATCAAATTGTCATTTACTTCTCCACTTCCACTTTGTACAATGTATACATCTTCTCCACGAACGGATTCTCCTATCTCCACGCTACAAGGATTATAAATAAAAATGTTCATAATTAAATATGTGCAGTAACAAATGCACATAAAGTATTACTATACTGTGTTCTGATCAATGTAACCTAAAGGAGATATTTCATCATTAATAGTACTTAATGTTACCTTGTCTTCTAAAGAAATTTTATTCAACTATTTTTATAGATTGCATTGGAACTCTAATGTAACACTGACAAATATAATTCTGATACAGTTACACAAAAAGAATATAAATGTTATTATCATATGAACGAAATGTGAAGGTTGATTAAAGATCTGATTAGTTAAGAAATATACAAATGTAAATAGATTATGAAATTCATACACATGATTTTGCATATTCACTTTATGCTATAAATCTACTTCAACCTACTTAAGTTTATGATTTATGTACCAAATAATTCATGTGATCAATTTATTAGTTCCCAAGTTTCAAATTACCCTCCATATATCTCTGTATTAATGTCGGATGTTTATAGTGTTTACATATACTTTTGATAAGGATATTTTGCTATAGCAGAAACAAAGACCAAACCATGGAATAGTAATAAAACACTCTTTTTACAGTTGGAAAAAGATAAAATTATCAGCATTGCATATCGGCATTTATAATGATTCATTAATATTAGAATGCATTAGAACGGTGTATTAATAATTATACCAGGTGACCTTCAACTTAAACGTCGCGGCTTAGCAGCACACGGGGAGACCGGCTTTGCGCGACGGGGTTGTTTGTACACTGGTAGGGTTGATAAGTTAACGCGTAAAATAAAAATAATAACACCAAGACGCTAAAAGTATTCTGGCTATGAAAGAAAAATGTGGCGAAAAGGAGGACCGTGGACGAAATATAGCGTGACACGTGGTCGGAGACTCAGTTTAAGGTAATGACAATAACGTGGTTATAGCGGTGATCGCGACCATTACCATGTTTCGAGGTTGCTGAATTTCTTAGTGACAACCTTTCCAATGTCTATACCGAGCCTGTCGACTATGCGCTGAGCCAAATCTGGATGCGACGTGCCACTGAAGACTTTGATGTTTGGCATTCTGCTTTGCAAAAGTCGTCCGCGAGAATTTTCTAAGTTTGCGCGTAACAAACTCTTGGCACGCACTGGCTGGGACACAGGCATCACTAAAACAGAAACCAGAGAGAGACCATCCAATCAGAGACCGCTTTGAAGCCGGACGTGACGTATTTGTACGCTCCGCCCATCAAATGTCGGGCATAACCGCGTAAACGTATTTATTTCTTATCATTTATTTTTTCTTCGTTGTCGACAAAATAACGTAACACAATCAATGAGCTTGTCACTTGTGCAAGGAAAATTGTTTACGTTTTTATGAACGTAATCGATTACGCTTGCCCTGATTACAGTAATACCTAGTCGCGCATTTACCGAAATTATTAACAACCAGATCGCGGATGTTTATGAAAATATAGACTATAAATAAATTTTTGAATATAAAAGTTGCACAGAAACTAACTTTCTCGATCAAGGATTTTGTTCGGTTAAAAATAAAATGATGACACTCTATGAATTATTATCATAGTATTTTAAAATAAGGTTAATGCTATATAGTACTTTTGATAACTCGATTTTTTCCTTTGACGTTCCAAAGATGAAATTTTCAATAAGAAATTACTATCTGACATATGACCGCGCAGATTAATAGTATTTATGATTTCTTTGTTTTATATTACATGAAGAAGCGGAATGACAAAATGAAGATGTTTGTCGTTTTTTGTATGAAACAAGTCATAAATATGAGAAAATATGTTTAAGTAAGTGTGCTAAGTTTCAAATCGACAATTTAAATATTTGTCCTTTCAAAAAAACCCAAAAATGCCCTATTTTTCTGAGCGTTTGCATGGGAATACTCGTTCGAATATACATACACACATATGTATATTCCGATAGACTACAGATACGTAAAATCGGCAATCTACTAATTACTACTTTGATAACGGTGTAACATTTTATATTACAGGTTTTCAAGTCACATTTCTGAATGTAAGTATCACATTTCTCAGGAATCTTGAAAACGTTAGAATTTAAAATACTACCTTCCATAATACACAGTTCTTTTCTTAGGCGTATTTAGAACGTTTACGTGGATTTCTTCTCTTACACACATTTATGTTGTATTCTGAATCGTAAACACTACAAATAAACAAAGTTCGACTAACGATCGTTCTTTGTTATTCGCAGTTTGGCGCCGTAATGAAGAACGACGTGAACGTAGACGAAATTCAAAAGGGTGAACACGAGCGGGTGACAGTCAACTTGTCCTATCAATGTGGCGCCGGCGGTGATTGAATGATAAATCGGATGTGTCCGTGAGCGGAGATTTCGACATAGAACACGGGTTAGAACGATCGTTTTTCCGAGTAGAGAGAGAGAGCGAATTCGAGTACGATTACCTGAAAGGTTCGCGCACGTTGACGCTCCCGAGGAACTTCGTTAATCTATTTGAATGACGATGACAGTGTGCTGACCATCTCACCGATACGGGAGCTATGGCGAACATCGCGGCACAAAGAATCAAACGCGAATTTAAAGAGGTTATAAAAAGCGAGGAGGTGAGTGAACAATAGTTTTGCACGATATCAGAAAGTTTGCTTCGCCTTTTGCGAAATGAAAATATTTGAATCGTTCAGTGATATCATTCGATTTTATGATATTGTTCCGATGAACTTTCATCTGTGGCGTGACAAAAATGTGCCGCAATTCATTGGCTGATAAAATCACCGCGAACAAAGCGTAGGCACCTGTTGTATAGTATTCTCGACTGTCATCTAATTTTAAAATTGTTGTTCGACTCAGAGTGGATGCGTATGTTGTATTACGTTGAACGAACTTTTGTATTCAATGTTTTAAGTTCAGAAGACTGCATTGTTTGCCTGTATGTAACAGAGACACTTCAATGGATTAAAAGATAATTTAATCATGCATATAAGTACAAATGTTGACTGTTGTTTTGTCTGATCGTTCATTGACTCCTCCCACCCCTATTTCTAATCTTTATTTCAAGTGGTACATACCATGAGTCTTTAATTTCTGAGAGCACTGGCATACTTGTGTGGTCTCATGTTGTTCCAGAAGATCCATTTTGTGTGCACAATCACATCTGTTTTGATTCAAACGTTTTCACATGTTTATACATAGGCATGTTGCATCAATAGATCACAATCTGTATATCATAACAATTTTATAAATTTTACATATGAAATATCACATCACTTTCTTATCATTGATGTCAATAGGTTAGTGATTGTATTCTATATACATTTTGAACAGTTCTTTAGTGTTTGTCATCACAGTATTGTATGATATGCATACATATAATATTTTTCCACATAAGTTATAATTTATAACAAATATTCTTTAAGTAAATATATTAAATGACAAACCGAATACTTAATATGAAAAAAATATGTATAATAAAACAATCATCCAATTTCTTGCATTCTTAGTATTCACTTGTTTATAACTATAAAACGAATTTAGCTTCGTACAAATCATTGATATATTCAGTAGTATGATTATTTGTTTCATGAAAAAGCTTCAGTCAAATTAAATAGAATGAATTGTCTATAGGGATATAGTTTTGTCTACTAGTAATACGTGTAAATTTGGTTGCAGGTTGCAAAATGTGCAATAAAGGTTGAACTAGTAAATGATAGTTATACAGAATTAAAAGGTGAGATTGCTGGTCCACCAGACACACCATATGAGGGAGGTAATTTTGTACTCGAGATTAAAGTTCCCGAGACATATCCCTTCAATCCTCCTAAAGTAAGCACTTTGTAAGTCAATATGATGAATATATGTTAATGATAGAGAATAAATTTTACATTGCTTCAGATTAAGGTGGATTAATATAACCTAATTCATGATAATGCATTTTTTAAGTTATCTTTTGTAAAGTGTAGTAACGTGTCTGAGTCTATCTTTCAATGTTCAGTAGTATAAAGTTTTTAGAATATTATGATATTGGAATAATTAGAGAAATTTCGCTTATAATTGATTTTTATTTATCTGCATTTTATTATTCATTTATTAGGTATATAGTATATGTTATCATTTAAGTGTTTTAAGCATCTTTTATGATGTAAATATTATAATTTATTAATCATTAATTTTTCCTTTAGGTACGATTTATAACAAAAATATGGCACCCTAATATATCTTCAGTAACAGGGGCTATTTGTTTGGATATATTAAAGGATCAATGGTATACAACTGCGTTCTTTAAGCTATAATGTAATGCTTAAATATTATGAAATGTATGAAAAATCTATGAAATTTTAATTTCTAGGGCTGCTGCTATGACTCTGCGTACAGTATTGCTGTCGTTGCAAGCTTTATTAGCTGCAGCAGAACCAGATGATCCACAGGATGCAGTAGTGGCTAAACAGTATAAAGAACATCAAGATATGTTTCGTCAAACTGCCAAACATTGGACATTTGTGTACGCAGGTGGTAAGTGTACAAGATCTTTTAATAATAAATATTTTCGTATGAACCTAGGATTAATTTCAGGACCAGCGAAGATGCCTGATTTAGATGACAAAATAAGGCGACTAACAGATATGGGAATTGAGGAACACAATGCAAGAGTTGCTTTATCATCTTATAATTGGGATTTGGAACGTGCCACTGAGCAGCTCTTCAGTTAGTGATAACTGTATAGTTAATCTGTCATATAAAAGCACTGCTCATTTTGTCATTACAAAACTTCTGTAATACCACACCCAAGCATCGATACCATAGCAGTTTCATAATCAAATTCGGCACTTGTAACGACAATATTTCAATGGTAAAAAACATTTGCAGGAAATTGATTTAATATCCTTGAAATAATAGTCATTTATTTAACTTGTAAAATAGGCATGAAGAAACAGTAATTAATAAAATCCATGTTAAGTCGAGATCGATAGCAACACTTCAGAAAAGAATCTCATTAAGAAGAATTTTCATCTTATGTTTATTAAAATTTTAATGATGTTATTTAAGCAACGAAATTTTTTTTATTGTTACAAGGGGAAAGCAATGCATTTATCAAGTTTCTTTTAAAGGAAAATGGTAGATTTACGTGTTGAGCATTCATTAAATCTCTTTGTATAAATAATTATATTCTCAAATCCTTCATTGGCCTTTCCTTTTATTTTACGAAGTTTTATTAATTGTTTCATTGATTTTTGCAGACCATAGTAAAGACAATTAATTTTTGCATAGCGCAGTATTTAGTACTTCTTTTGTATTTCTAGATGAATATCCGCGCATTACACCCTATTATACCAATATAAAAATAATAATTATTATACATCTTCGGTGATGGGTTATGTTTTAACACTCTATAGTTTATTATGTCAATTATGTATACATTAGAATATGCGTATGGCATTCTGTATTTGAAACTGGAGATGTACATTCCATGTTTAAAAAGTAAAATTGCTCTTATGCGTCATAATATTTGACTTTCAACTAGTTATAATTTACACAGTTACAAGAGGATATTAGAGAACATACTGTATTGCAAATAATGCTGAACTTCCAGTTTAAAAATTTCAGAGAATACAGTTTTATATAATATATATGTAATAGTATGTATAAAATTGTATGGTTCGTAAATGATTGCTGATTTATAAATAATTTAAGGAGGAGCACTAATTACCCATAAACTAAATAAGAAAATAGTAGCACATGTAGAATACATTTCGAACTTGTTCAAAATACTATTTGTACAGCAACATGCATATTATCTCATAGATGTTAGATAGAGTCTTCAAATATAATTAAACAGTATCGTATCTCCGGCAGTGTTAAAGAGACATTTTACATTTTTCTTTTACATCTTTAAATAATCTACATGCAGGCTGTCTTAGAGATTACAAATTCTATTCAGATTTCACTTAGAATGACGAATTTTAAATTCTTAGTTATGTGTGGATTAATTTGTGAAAATAATTAGATGCAGTATCTTTGAACAGTCTAAATGTAATTTAATATTTCAAAAATATTAATAAATGCCTTTTTCAGTACTAGCATAAAAAATGCTTGTACAAAAATTCCCTTACAACATATAATTCATTTCTTCTACATAAATAATGTTTATCTAGTAAAAAAAAATATATATATATAAACCCTAGTTTCAGTACATTCTTCGAAATATTAACGATCACATTATTGACACTTATTTAGGTATTCTTAGTTCTTTTATTACTATCGCATTTTCAAATGTTAGTCAGAGTAATCAGCCAATATATTCACTGCACATATGTATATTAAAGTATGGTAAAATACAAATTGAATTTTACCAGTTCCCAACTTAAATTACATGCGCAGAGAACTTTTGTATTGTCAATAATAAAAGAACTGTGCTTGACTTATAGTAAACTTTCATTTTTTTAAATTATCTATAACTGTTTTTATCACGTGACTTCACGCATCGAAATATCATTCACATTCTGAAAGAGAGAATGTAGCAAGGAATTTAATCTTTGTAGTCATTTTACAGATCTCTTAAATCACAAGCTTTGATGTATATGTGAACGACACTTCGAACATGGATCTGTCTACACAAAGTATTACATTAGGTTTTATTATTTTATTTATTTATAAAAAATTATCCGTGACTATAAATCCTAACTTTTTTTGCAGAAAGCGTTGCTAAAAATAAATGACTATTAACGTCGATCGTACACATATCCACGACGGGGTCAGACACGGGGAGATTGTTTACTTGTTTTCCAGTAGACATACTCCACAATGATATACAGCTCGTGGATTCTTGGTGGGCAGCAATTAATGTATCATTTTCAATATTTATATAACATGGTCGGGACAATAACTGCTGAGAATTACCAGCATGAAATGTGTGTACTACATTACAAATGGTTGATTCCTCATTACCTTTTTCTATGGTACATACCACATGCCTAGCATGAGGTTGCCTTGCATTTGGACGTGAAGATATTAAAGCATGATTGTTTTTTTCATCATAACATACAGACACAAATGGTCCTTCGAGGAATATTTGCTTGGGTATGTATTTTGACTCCTTTTGTTCATATGCGTAACACGTACTTAAACGACACGCTATAAATCCACCTCGACTAATCGCACTACCAGCATTGGGTGGTACTGATGCTAAAGAAACCACTGGTGATCTGTCGCCTGGACTGTCTAGAGTTTCTATAGGTCCAGAGGTATGCCTAATATCGAATTGTGTTATAGATCCATTCTGTGCACCCGCGAGAAATATGTTCGGATTATCGCCTGACCAACAGCAACTCCACAATGGAAAATCCGTTTGATAAGTATGCATAATGATATGATTTTGAATATCCATCAGTTTTGCACACTTATCAAATCCAACGCTAAGCAATATTGACTGCTGGCTTGAATTAAACGTAACATCTCTTATGGCTTGAGAATGTAGGAAAATAAACTGACGCGGTTGAAATTTATCCGAATCAATTTTCTTAATACCGTAACCCGAAAATAACGAACTCGTTGATTTTTGGGAGACAACCAGGAATCCGTACCATGGATTGTAGTCCAATACACGGCAACCACCATCTTTACATATTTCTATAGATCGATCTAAATGGAATTTTTTAGTCATATGCTTGGAAATATTCTGACAGGAATGTACACTGATTTCTGACTGTTGATTCTCTAATTCGGATATACGATTCCGCATGCTAGATACTTGTTGCTCGAATAGCTTTTGCCGAAGAGCGTACTTTGACAACTCCATTTCTATATGATTTTTTTCAGCTGTAACACTATTTAATTGTTTTTTCAACTTATCTAATTCAGCTGTATCTATTGATGTTAATTTCTTGGCATATAACATTCTAATGTCTTTCGCAGCAGCTTTCCTATTACATTGGGGACAACGGCGATTTCCACTGGTACAAGAGGTTTGTAACCACCTTAAGATACAATTATATCCAAATAAATGACCGCAACGTAAACAACACAAACGATGTTCCCCCGAGCTAGTCCACAGATCCATACATATAGGGCAAGATTGATCAGAATCAACGTCAGACTCATCTAGAGTTTCTTTTGCTTTCTTTGCTTTTGATTCATCATCTTCTGAAGTATTAGATAAGATTACATATCATACAATAGATATTCTATATATTAGATTGAAAAAAGAACTTACTTATCTCGTCTGCTTGGACTTCAGTTTCCACATTATTATCAGCATTATCATTGTTATCAGCTATATCATTATTATCAGATTCTTCAGAACGATCTTCTTCCGCACCTTCCATTTGTGGTGTTTCTTCACCTACAATATTCAATTAAAATTAGTACAAATCGATACAACTATATTAAATTAGTATTTTAAATTCACCACTGATGTTACAAAATTAAGATATATATAATACTTCTTTTATGTCACAATTTAAATTACAGAAAGCAACTTAAAAAACAAAATCCTTTGTAACAGAAATGAATACAAAGGTATTTTAATAGTTTATATATGTATTTATTTATGTACGTACATGTGCCTAGGAATTATACAATCATGACATTGTGTTATAAATACTACGTGTAATAAATAACTATTTCATTTATTATCAACACTTACTGTAGTCCATAACCTCCATTGTATAAAAGTGTAAAATAAAATATGTCTTGCACAAATTTTACAAAAAATATATTGGATTTTATTTAACTTGATTTCTTTCATAGAAAAAATACATTAACATTGCTTTTTCTTTACAATCAAAATGATACTAGGGTGACAACAACAAAGATGTTTACACACAACAGAATTTTCTCATGACCTTTTCCAAACGAAAGTAATGGGATATTTCGTTCAAAAGTCTTGTGTTCATATATTATAAAATAAATATACTACTTACACTGTTAATTGATTTCAATATTAATCTATTTCGATAAATTTTTATTTCTTAACCTGATGTATTTGTTTCACACTCGTTTCCAGCTGATCATTCTCATCATTCTTCTAGCAGTTGTAAAAATCTGTATAGCGTCTAAAATTGTATTTTTTATTACAATTGATTAAACAGAACATACTGTTTCATTTTACATTGGAATATTTTCTTATAAATACTATATTTTGTAATGCATAACAAACAATTATAAATACATCGAATAACAGTCACACACAAATATCCATGGCGTGATGAGTTTTTTCGATTTCACTAACTGGAACGATATTATACACTACACAGTCACACCTATTGTAAAATAATAGTTTTTTAGGGTATTTAATTCACACATCCATCGCCATGACAAACATTACTACCAAGATTTATCAGACACGTGTGTAAAGTGACGTTAACTAATTACAAATTGATCATACATATACATATATATATATATACGTATATGTATATATGCACATGTATTACATCTGGTTGAAAAAATGTTTTTAAAAAATATTTCTGTATATTTCTGTTCCTCTTTCTCAACAAAATAAGTTTTTTACTCAACAAAATAAATTTTCCTTCTTTGTAATTTTTGTGAAATACAGTCCATACACATATAAGAAAGCTAAATTAAAGAGCATCATAATGTATGTATTAATTCGATACGATCGAATATAAAAATAAATGAAGCATGCTTCATACGCTTATTTGAAGAAATTGAAGGTCCCCCCAAGTGAGTGTCACGTACAAAAAGAAAATTTTTTCATAATTTCGACAGCCGTACAATTAACCCGATTGCATGTTGCAGTACAAGAAAATTAAATAAAAACCAATTTCGAGCATAAAACCGAGAAATCGTTCGACGCTGTTTGATATCAGTACCGATTCTTCACTGAGCAAACGAGAGGAAAAGATCATCGGGTCCCTCACCTGTACCATCCAACAGAAGAAATATCGTTACTAAGTGAAGCAACGGTGTTGTTTCGAAGGTAAAATAATGAAGGTAAAATGTCGGTTATTGTTCAATAAACAAACCACTGGAAACCGAACTGTATCGAAGAGAATTTATAATATTACAATATTAATTCGACGATCTTTAGAAGCGGCGACAGTGCACGCGGAACACGTCCCGTTCGCCAGGAAGTTCACCGACGTCTTTCCTCGAAAGTTTGCCCGTTAAAACAAAAAGCTCGTACGATCTGAAACGTCGTTGTCTGCAACGTGGCAGCCCGAAATCGCAGATAAAGGGCGCAGACTGTACCGTCGAGTCAGTATTGAAAAGAGATGCATTCGGCTCATTGGAATCTTTGTTCGATCTTAAGAAGCCTTTGAACTTACCGGACGTATACTCGTTATCGGTCGAATACCGTCAGGAGGGACATGTTCCTCCGTTCGAGTCGGGAAAAAATACTAGAAACTTGTTAGAATCGATACCTTTACAACAACGATCGGATCTTGAGCCACACATTCTCGAGCAGGTGAGCTTTTGTTACCTCCCAGATAGCATATGACGCCTTGAGAACGCTCATTTTACGGCTAGTTTAGGTCTAAGGCGCCTTTAAGCCGTCTTTAAGGCGTCATTAGGCGACATGTGCTATCTGGGCTGTATTCGATCAGAAACTTTCAACACGCTAACATTGTTGAACATTGGTGACTAACGTTGAAATTATTGTTTCCGTTGGGTAATAATTGCAATTTTATTATTGGGATGATTTATGTTGATCTTGTGTAAAAAAGAGTGTGTTCGTGTACTAATTCGATTGTTGAAATTTTCAGTTCACTCTACATCCGTATAGTGTTACGATAAAAAGTATTCTAGATCAAATGAAACGCTTATATTAATAAGTAGCGATACTGAAACGTATGTACAATACAGAATATTTGGCAGTCATATGACGATCGGAAAGGTAAACCGGAAGCGATCAAGGAGGAGCCAGCCGTTGAATCGACGGAATCAGAAGAAATTAGAAGTTCGAAACCTGTAGAAGAGGAATCGTCAACGTGAGATAGTTAATTACAATTTTTCACTGGTGATTTACGTCCTCGTTGAATTGACGTAATTTTAGTATGGCTGACAACGAGGCTGACGAGACAGCCACGCAAGAAGCTGAGGCAGAGGAAAATGAAGAAACGACAGAAGATACTCCGCAGGATGAAACCGATGAAAAACGGGAAAAAGATAAAACCGTAGACGATGAAATAGTTTCCGTGGAGCTTCCGGATTTTCCACTTCCTTCTGGTGTTGGCGAAGGTACACAATGACTTTGACACGCGGTCGAATGGATTTCGTATTAAATGTACATCGTTCAGGCGCTCAAATGAAACCTGGCGGTCGAAATGAATCTTTATTGAGCTCGTCACCTTTGACCGACGCCGCGGTGATCGAGGAAATGAAGAAAGCCGACGAACGGTGCGCCGTTATCATGAAAGAAATCGAGGAATTGAAGCTGGAAATTGTCGTACTCACAGAGGTATCCGATCAAAAAAAGATAGGGCTTTCGTGAAATTTTCGAATTTCCAGAGATTTTCTTTGTCACACGTCCTCGACATTACAGAAGAAAGAATTATCGGAGGAGGACACGCAGGCGCTTCGGACTAAGCAGGAGGAAGTAATGACGAAACTAGCGGAAGTCGAGGAAATAACACGACAATTGCAAAAGACATTGGGTTTGTCCGATTTCTCGAGCGCAACCTTCTGCAAACTGTTCGACATCCTACCGTATCCGCACACGAGACCCAGTTTGGCGCGTATTAATCATAATATAGAACAATATTCGAAGACCGTATTATTAACGCGTTGAATGACTTTAGAATCGAATCGCAGGTCGAAGAAGAAAAGCCATTGAAGCCTGAGGATCTATTCGATCTGCCTCAAATCGAATATCCAGAGGACAAGTACGTCGAGAAACGAACGTTTATTCATTTAACGAAACTGTCATCTGTATGTTTTTTTTTTTGTTTATATATTTAATTAGGCTTCCAAGGGTAATCGTTTGCGGGCATACGGAAGACGAAGTTCCAAAGGTTGTGGTGGCGGACAGTAAGAAGAGGGGTAAAGACCGATCTCTCAAGAATCTGACGGGGAAATTGACAGAATCGTTGACGATGCAAGAAAAATTGGCGCTGGAGAATGCTCAGCTTGAGGGCGGAAAGTGAGTCGCATTACGTTCGTAGTTATTCCGTTTCGAACGCTCGTTATACAGTATTTTTAGGATTTTGCGATAGATGCTAAATAAATGCTAAAATTTAGAATAGATGCTAAAAAATGCGAAATTCGTAAAATATGTGAATAGATACAGATATACAGGGTGTCTCAGCTAACTCGATCACTTCGAATAATGACTTAACGGTACACTTTATGAAAATTTTGAGGCGTGGAACATAAATTTCACCATGGGGCACATCTTATAAGGTACGTGCTTTTTTTGTGGGTGGATGCATGTCAGAGATTTCGTTTCTTAACCGTGTGTATTGCTGCTAACGGACACCATTTTGAAAAAATCATATTTTCTTAATGTTTCTTTGGTTTAGAAGAAAAACAATGATCTTTTATAACGCTTTCCGAATTCGTCTCAGTACCCGCTAAAATATGGACGTAAAAGAATTATAGATTTATTTATAAAAAGAAACGAAGGTGGCCTTAAAAACTCTGGAAAAAAAGGGGTTGAAAATAAATTTAGTACAATCATCTTGAAGCTTTCCTTGAATCGTGTTATTACTAGTGGAAAAATGTTTCGGTCGAATAGTTTGCAGTAGGATAATTCGTATCCGATCTGATACGATCAGAGATACGCAGCAAGTCCACCCTATATGTGACGTAAGAAATAATAGAGAGTCGGGATGAAAATATTTGAGAATCGTGTCGGTTTACCCTGACAACGGTTGCATAGAACTTCAGCAAAATTAAGCATGTTGACATCAGTCAGGTGATTCTAATCGAGGGTCCATATACATATACATACATTCGGCACATAGATACAAATTAGAGGAGGCATTATTGGAGAAGGATTCAGCGGTCGAGAGCCTTCAGAGGAAGGTATGCGGGCTACAAGCTGAAATGCGAATAGTCGTGAAGGAAAACACGGAACTGACCCGTCAGATAGCTTCCTTGAATCAACGTATCATCAGCCCTTGCTGTTACCCCTGTTCAGGTGAAAATCATTCGCCAGGATCGAGCCCGTCCCCTTATCGTTCGTTTTCGTACACCACCACTGCCAGACAGGACGACGACTATTGCGCGTGCAAGTGCTGTCTTCAACCGCAATTCGCTGAGACTTTGTCGCCCAACGGCAATTCTATATGCGGTATACAAACGTCTGAACGATATCATTCGTTTGACAAAAATTACAGATAGAAATTTTGTTAATTCAATATACGTGTTTCAGTGAGACGAAATAGTCAAACGTTTTTAAACAGCGGAGGTGAGTGCGTTCATATTGCGAATTTTTATGCATATTCAGATTTTCAATCTATAAACATAGAATTTCGATAGCTTAAGAGCGTATTTAGATTCATTAATGATCTGTTATACTATTATTTGCTAAATACCTTCTGCTATATAACGCATAAACTTGTTTCTGGTTGCAGGAACTTGTATTTATAAAATTCTAATTTAAATCAACCATAATTCACGTCTGTAGATTCACCCAGACTTGCGGGTGGCGCGTCGAGAACAGGGGCTTTACTAAGTGGTGCTTCCTCCCAAGACGAAGAAATGTGTTGCCGGACTCCCGCAGCTGCTAAGCAATCATGCCCGCCGCCACCGCCCAGGGGAACATGCCCCGAGGAACTGGAGAACCAACTTGCGTCTTATGGCAACAACACCAAACAGCTAGTACATTTGAACAGAAATATGTATAATCGAACTCACAAGGGAACTTCGGTACAACCGAAAAATTCCGATTTTGTACAGGACTTCAATAGAAGCATCCAGCAATTTTCCGTTTTTGCTGATCTCCGATTCTTTAGGCTGAAACCACCCCTTAGCGATTAACGTGTGTTTTCGTATTTTCCGGTATATCTTGAAAACTATCGTGAGTATGAAAAAGTTGTTGGAATGAAAATTTAATATGTTTTTATGCTCTATAAAACGGCGCAATAAAATTGTTAAAAATTTGTTCTTTTAATAAATAAATAAACAAATTTTTAATAATTTCATTAGACATTTTTATAGAGCACAAGAATCCATTCAATTTTTATTCTAACAGTTTTTTGATACCTACTATAGTTTTCAAGATATACCGGAAAATAGGAAAGCACGCATTAACCTTTAAAGGGTGGTTTCACCCTAAATAACCGAATATCAGCAAAAATCTAAATAACAACAACAAACCTGCGGAGTTTAAAAAGAGATCAGAATCTTCGGGTTGTACCGAAGTTATATATGACATACATATTTATATGTCCACGATGATTTCAGCAACAACAATTAGGCAGCATGGAATGGGAAGTGCGTAACATGCAGATAGAACTTGCGAACGTGCAACGGGAGCGTCAGCAGTTGGAGCAGCAACGTAAGTTGCTGAAATGCACCGGTCCCTGCGCACCTTGCGGTTGTTGTCCACCACCGCCAGGAAACCTTCAAGCTTCCGGTTCACCGCCTTACATACCGCCCACGCTACCACCACAGCCGCCACCACCGTCATCCGCGCCTCTTCCCAAGGTATCTGTACAATATCTTGATCACCTTGATCGCACAAGCCCACGGAACGAGCTGATTAACCGGTGCACCGATTGTTATCAAAGTTGCTCCGCCTTCATTGATCGGGGTCGATGAATAACCATTGAATTCAGACGATCAAGCAATGTCACCACAGATTTTGTATGAAATAAACATATTTTAGAAAAAAATTGCAAATCGTTCTTTTTTTTCTTCTAAAGTTACACGACAATGCCACATTATCCTGTGCGTAATTTTTCGACGAGTGAACGTTTGTGGTTCGTATCTTAAAATATGATTATTTCATATAAGATTTTATACAAAAAAAAAATGGCCGGTAATCGAACGTAACGGCTCTTTTTAAATTATGTACAGTATAATGTGAACATTTACTCTGTAGATTAGTGTATTACTATGTGTAATACAACCCCAGGTAGCATGTGACGCCTCGAAGACGCCCATTTTACAGCTATTTTAGGTCTAAGACGCCTTTAAGTCGTCTTCAAGGGGTCTTAGGCATGATGTGCTATCTGGGACAGTAATAGCTTGTTTTTTCGGTATATTTTCAATCAACACAGATGCCACCCGCGCCATCCTCAACCTGTACTGGTCCCTGTATAAACGCGCCTATGGTAAGATTGTACTTTCGTAGGAGATTTAACATGCAGATGAGATGTAACATGTATTAAACTTAACAAAAGGGCGCCAGCACGTGTCCTCAGCAGCAGTTGCGTGATCTTCGCGAGCAATACGCGCGTCTGCAGGACGATTACAAAAATAAATTATGCGAGGTTTCGTGTTTAAGAACGGACGCCGAGAAGCTTAAGCAACAAACACGCGAGGCGATCGAGGAGAGAGAGAAGTTAGACATCAAACTGATAGACGCTCAGGAACGTTTAAAAGCGATCGAGGCTGAGAAAGACAAATACGAAGGTGACATTGAATCACGTTGGAATTTATACCTTACAATGGGTAATTCTCAAACGTTATATATTAATTACAGGTTTTAAGGAGCAAATGGTCGAGCACGAGCAACAATTGATCGTTATTAAACAACGTTTCCGGGAATCGCAAGACGAAGTGGAAGAATTGCGATCACTGATACAAGATCAATCCGCGCAGCTCGAGGATTATCGTAATAAATATTTACAGGTTTCCGTTGTCGACACGTAGCACTCTAGAGATTTAACCACAGGCATGTATGAAAATGATAACTGAAACACTAGGCGCAACAACAAGTCGAAGAGCAACGCCGTCAACTCGACCTCATGGAAATGGATAACGCGCGAATGAACGAGAACGTGACATTAGAAATTGGTCGTGTTAAGGTGCGTAACGAATCTTCGTTTTGTAACGTTTGTCGTTATACAGGGGGACACAAAAAAGGGTTCGTTACTTCTAGGGTAGGTAGTACTCGCCAAATGATGAAAAAAGGTCTTAACAAATGTAGGTCAAAAAATTAATATTTTCAGAGCTTTAAACATTTTTTGTTTCGATTAAAACTAGTGACTTTCTCGTTATTAGACCTTATAGGTCTAAGGCGCCTTTAAGCCGTCTTCAAGGCGTGATGTTTTATCTGGGTTCCTTCTTTTTCTGGTTACGGAATGTTTTCGACAATTTTTATTAGTTTCTTTTTACAATTTTCTTCATTGTTTCTATACGATACGATAGCTCCCGAAACAATAAATTGTTTATAACTTGGAAAATATTAATTTTCCGATCCACACTTATTATGTACGACTTCTTTTCATCATTTGAAAGTACCATCTACCCTAGAAATGATGAAACCTTTTATCGTATCACTCTGTACATGTATGCACATTTAATTGCTTTTGTTGATAGAATCAATTCCAAGAGAAACTCGCTGAATTAGCACCGCTGCCGGATCTTCTGAAGCAAACGCAGGTAAAGTTGCAGGAAGCGCAACAGATGCGTTTGGTCGCCGAAAGGAACTACGAGGATCTCACGCGGGAGCTAATCGGGTGCAAAGACAAGGTCCAAACTTTGCAAAATCAGTTGGATGTTCTGCGCAACGAGTATCAAGCTCTTCAGGTCACTGTCTCCAATGTTTCGCTATAAAATAACGTAACATTCAATCTACTAAATTTCTATACAATTTGTGATATCTGGGATAATCGTAAATTACGTTTAACAGGAGGAAAGAGGCAGTGGTACAGGACGGTTCGAAGAACTGGAAAAGAAGAATTCTGAATTACGGCACGAGAATGAACGCATGAAGAATACACTCGCCAGATTCGAGGAGCACGAAGCGCAGTTGCAGAAACGGATCGACGAGAAGATGCACGAAATTACTCAGTTGACGGCGATGCTTGATCAGGTACGACGCCGTCTTTCCATCCTTGTGAAATGCATAGTAATATACTGTTGATTTTTTTTCTTTCGTAGGTTCGAGAAGACTCGGCCAGACAGGTAGCAAGGACGAAAGAAAGATGCGAGACTGTGAGAAGATCGATGCAAGGTCAGATAGCAGAGATGGAGAGACAGCTGGCTCAGTGCAGAGCCACTGCGAGAGCTGCACAGAAGGACAGAGATGAAGTAATTAATTATTAAAAAAATAAAAAATAAATAAATCGTTCAGATTTAATGCGTTTAATCGCTGATTTGTTTCTTACGCTGTCGTTTATAGATTAGACAAAAGATGCAAGGTCAAATAAACAACCTAAACGAGGCTTTCGAGCAGGCTCAAGGACGTATAAGGTCACTCCAAGGTCACGTAAATTATTTGAAGACATCGTACAGTAATATCTTTAAGGGTCAAGGGGAGGCACCTCCTGGTGTTTTGCCTGGCGAACCCGGCGCAGGATTTGATTCCTGTGACTGCAATTACTAATAGGAGATTTATGCTTTATTGACATTTAAATGAAATTTCACCGCGCCAAAAAGTCGTCTTACTGTGCACTCGCATAAATATTACTATGTCAAACATTGTTCATCGAGAACAAAACACAAAAATTGTCTAATCTTCGTAGGTAGATACGTCTATAACACTATAGATAAATTGTCGTTGAAAAAGTGATACATATTTAAACTGTAGGATACAAAAATCATTACGAAATTTGATTGTGAATAGGATCTCACGTAAATTGAAATGTTGTAATACAAAAACGATGTGTATAGTACAATGTTGCAGTTTCTTTCGTTTTTTTCGACGCGAATGTATTTTATTCAATAAATCGATCACGTACTTTTTATATGCAATGAAGTAGAAGAGGTAAATAAAATAGTTTGACAATAGTGCGTACACCTTGACTTAAGGAAATTAAGAAATAGTGATTTGTACAAGGAAAAAGCACTTAGTTTAAGAGTCATAGTGGTTTCTTTAGTTCATGTCAACAGAGTGAAGCATATTGAGCATGTCGAGGATTGCATCCGAACGTGATCGTACTCTTTCCATTTCCATTCGGAACTCTTCCAGTTGAGACTCGATTCGTCTGGCATATGCATGACAGCATCTGCGAATAAATTATCTAAATAATACAAAATTCATTCCATGTGTCATACATGTATAATATTTGAAGAATAATAACTTACCTGTCATTGCATTGCGTAGAACTCGAACATGTTGGTTCAGGCGTAGGACACTGAGAGACTTTACTACACGGTGAACCGTTCGTTATGTGGGATGAATCCTTCTGTTTTAGACTGCTTTTGTTGACACTATTATCATTAGGGCTACGACAGTCTCCACACCCTCTTAAGAGATCCATAAGAATTCCTCGCACCCTTTTGCCACTTAATCTCCGTTGCCTTGTCTGTATATAAACGAAAAGAAGAATAAATATTTTAAGAAACATAATAAAAATGCTTGTAAAATCATTATATTATCAATTATTTTTCAGCGTCTTACTTCAGGTGTTTCGCCAGATAATTTCGACGGAATTAGAAGATCTTCTTCGCCTTCGTTTGAGTGACTATAACTACACGTTGGCCTTTCAAAACAGTCGTGTTTATGTGTACTTCCCGAGGATGACTTACACGTACATGTGTCATCCCTATTGGTGTTAAAATATTTTGTTGAATGTTGGCTACTATTGGATGTATTTTGTAGGGAACGTCGACATGTATTATTGTACTTGCAAGTTACTTCATTCATTTCGGTGGCGGTATTCGTGTTTTCGTGTAAATGGTTACTCAATTCAGGACTGAATACATTTCTGAGGGAATTCCTTCGAACCCCTTTAACATGGAATTTATCTTTACTATGATTAGGACTATCGTCGTACATCTGTCTGTCGTGATACGAGCCGCAGTTGTAGTCTTTATCTATGAATTCTGTGTGGTTCGAGCAACAGGAATGTAATTTTTCTTGCGAATCCGACATGCTTTTACACGTCGACCATGCTTTTCGATGTTGAGCAGAATCGCAATTCCTACACGAGGCCACGCTGTTCCTTCGGGTGAAAAGATTACCCACGTATCTCTGATCGTTTAGATCATCTAGTAAAAAAGGCGATTTCATCGTATTTGATGGCATAGAGTGACGACACGGAGAAACACCAGATTTATTGAGTCTTGACGGGGGCTTCTGTTTTCTATTAGTTGAACATACAAGTGAATTGCCATTAAATCTGGCCTGCGGTGTTTTTTCCAAACACATACATGTTTTCTTTTCAATCGACTTTATAGACACCTCCATATCGTCTTCGTTATCACTAGGAGATTCCCGATTGACTTCTTTACCCCAAATGCTAATTGTACCATTTATTTCAGACATTCTTACTTCAAGATTACCTAATAAGTAAGGACCGCATTCTTGGATACGATTCTTATCATTTTCCATTGCATCTTTTGTTGGTTCTTCTGCTTGAATCAAGAAACTTTTATTTTTGCTATTTTCATTATCTCTATATACGAAGCATTTTACATCTTCATCAAGATCATTAGTTTCTTCAGCTTCAGTTTCTAAGGGTACAGAATCTTCATTGTTTTTATTCATAGATGTATCCTGTGATTGTTCTGCTTTTTTATTTGGATGTTCCTCTGAATATTTAAATACCACATTCGTGGCACTAGTATCTTTGTTTTCAGATGACATGGCTGTGTGAGGTATTTTAAATGGTTGAACGAAAGTGGAAGCACCAAGCATATCTGTTGCTTTTCGTTTTTTGGAAGTTGAAGCGTGCATTGGAGAATTGTACTCCAAATTTGATAAATGATTCAATGAAGTTTCGTTTGTTCGTTTTTTGGAATTTCTCACCAATGGACTTTCAACCTTTGTTTTGCCTTGCGTTATGTTGGAGAGAGTCTGCAAGATCCGAGATGAAGTAATGAATGTTCGAGACAATGGATATGGCAATTTTCTTGGAGTACCATCAGTGAGTATCATACTATCGTCAGAATTAAGAATTGGTGTCACATCAGGTGGTTTAATAGATATAGCTGGACTACAAGCGCTATCTGCCCAGTGATCAATAGAACTTATTGTAGATGCAACACTGCTGGTGGACATTTTATTATTTGTATCTACTGTAGTAACAATTATTTTTGGTTTGGATGTTGTATCTACAGTAGTCTCAGTTTGCACAGCTGCAATTTTTGTTTCACACACTTTGCTTTCATTTTCATATTTTGCTAACGACTTCTTTAAAGCATCTAATTCTTGTTTCATTTTTATGTTTTCGGCCAATGTTTTTTGATAAGCATTTCGTAAATTATGAAACTGAGCATCTTTTTGAGTCAGCTGAGCTTTCAGCTGCATTATTTCCATATTTTCGGTATTCGTTTTTGCAAAATTTAAACTTTCTGATTCATCCTGCATTACTCTGATACTTTTGACATTCTCAATTTTCAATGCACAGCTTGTATTACTGTTTTCCATTTCTTGTATATTAATCATCTCCGTGTCATTATATGTTTCTGGTTCACTAGTTTTTTCTTGAGTCTTGTGCCTTTGCTCCTTCGTGTCTTCCTTTTGTCCAGAGTTGGGTGTACCATGCATGTATTCTTCATAGCTTAATGTACGTAGATTGAAAACTGTAGGTGCCTGCTGATGACCGTTAACTAAAGAAGGTTGATCCATGTTATTAAATTTTACATTCCTATCTACTGTATTTTGATATTCAATATGATGTGCATTAACATCTACAGAACCATTTCGTTTCTCTAATTTATCATCGCAGTTTTGTGCACGTTTTTCATTTTGAATATCATTGTATGCGTTCACGTCACCGTCCCTTCGAATATTTTTATATTGACTTTCAGTTATTTTGATATCTATTTTGTTATTATCACAGTTTTCTACTATTTGTGCTGTATTATAAATTGAATTACCAGCTTCATTATTTTCTTCACGTTGCAAATCCTTAATTGCCTTCTCTGCATAATCTTTTATGACCTTGTTTGTTTCTGGTAGTTTTAATGGATCAGTGTCATTATCTATAATAAAAAAAGACAGAAATTATGTTCCGTATTTATTAACTGTTAAAGATTTTAGAACTTGGCTATTCAGGTCTATTGAAGATTGTATTGTTTCGGATTTTTTTTACTCATTATCTATTAACATCTTAAATATGTACAGCATTAAACACAGATACACCTTTCAAATCTGAATATCCAAATTCTAATAACATGAACCAATTCTTACTTTCATTTTCTTCGTAATCTTTATTTATTATGTATTCTTGTTCTTTAACACGTTTTTCCATTGACTTCCTATTTTGTTCCTTTATGTCTCTAATATACCGTTTTACTTTACTTTCCACATGTTGATATTTAAGTGGCATAGACAGCCTTTTATTTGCAACAGGATTTGGTTGTAGGCCTGTATAGTTTTGCGCAAATATATTTAAACTGTGCCTCTTCTTATTATTATACGGACTATGAATATTGTTCTTAGTGAAACTTAAATCTTGTAAGGATAAACTTCTTTCTTTATGGTGTTGTTTCATTCTGTTATTTAAAATAAAATCATCAGACGCTCTATCAAAACAATCTGGGTCGTATTCTGTTTCAATATCCTCATCATCATCATCATCCTCTTCTTCATCTTCTAACATTATATTTTCACGATCATTTTCAAGTTCCATTTCATCCATATCTACAGCAACAGAAATCAACATTGATAAAACACTGTCTTATAAATTGGACAAAAGTCTATGCTCTTCGCTTACCTTCACTGTCTGCATACTCATCTTCTTCATCTTCGTTGTTGTAAGGGTGATTACTCTCTTCCCCAGAAGATAACACATAAATACTACCTCCTCCTTGATCATCACTAGGATAAGGACTTCGACTGTGATCCTCTTCTATTGGTATCCTGTCTTGTTGTTTTGTATTATTGATATCCGATTCTTCGCGCCTCGACGGAGTCGATACGCTAATGTACGTCGGCATTTCTTCGTCTTCTAACATAGGTTGTTCCATTTCATTGTTTAATATACTTGTGTCACTTTTAGATTGTTCGTTACTGTGATTTTCGGCATTCATTTCTTCTTCGGTTTCTTCCGAGGTATGCTGATTCTCTTCTGACATCGTGGTTGTTGATACTAAACACGTGATATATTACGATTACATACGTCCTCTATGATCGCATGGATCTTAAAATAACGTGAACGCGTATCGACGGCACACAGTTCGTTTTTGTAAGCATTTAACGCGTGCAATCATACTTTTCTGACGACCGCCATTACGGCTGCCGCTGATGGCACCTGCATTTCAGTCCGTTCGCATATTCTACTTCTTTATCGAGCCTTCTTTTATTGCATATTCGCTTAACTTCAACAAAATTTCCTTACATTACGTTTAAACAATAAATCCTCTTGTTAAAACAACAATTGTTGAACCGAAAACAACCACTACGTCGCAATTAAATATATAATTATTGCGAGACTAATGACCCGTGGATGTGCAGGGATGTACTTGTGTTGTATACAGGGGGTACTTGCTCTACATTTATCACTTCATATCTTTGAAGTTAATAATAATTTTAAATATTGTTTACTTACGTTCCTAATTACAGTAATATATATACAATACCTATTGTACTATTTGATAAGAAATATACTACTTTTGGTTTTTCATGTGCACAGAAATACCAGATCGTCAATTATTGTATGGGGTATACGCGCATGCTCTTATAATGTGGAATAAAAATTTTGAAAAAAAAAAAAAGAAAAGAATGTCGAGACTCCGAGAATAAAAGATTTTGTTTATCGATTTTTGAATGTTGAAATTAGTATTTTACCGCGTTAGAATCGTACACTACTGACGAATTGAACGCGGGGAACGTGGAATCGAGCCGTAACGTCAATCACGTTGTTTCCATGCGTGGTGAGCGGTCGTATTCGATAATTAGATGCAAATAGTTGATAACACATAAAGTAACACAATTAGAGAAAAATTAGGAGAATGTCTTCCGAAAATAGTGAAACTCCTTTAACCATTGAATTTGGGTAACGTTGATATTATACATAACCCAACTTTTCTTACAGTGATATCGAATTTAATAAATCACCCGCTAAATTTCAGGGGTGGGGCGGAACTTCTTTTCGATAAAAAGAAAAAATATGAAGTGAACTTACCTGGGAACGACTGTAAGTTTTACGAATATTTTGCGACTGGATCTCTTAATTCGCCCCTTGAAATTTTGTAGGGACGATACAGAAGCTTCTCTTTTGGATAAAAGATAACCTCTTGAAAGAGCGACCGGAACTTTTTCTGCAAGGGGAGACTGTGTAAGTTGTTATTTCTTACGGTTACTCAGCACCGATAGCGTAAACATTTCAAGTAACAATTTAAAATGTCACACGCAAAAGTTTCTCGTCCGGCACGCGTAAAGTTTGTAACGACATGCGTGCAGGACCACAAACACAATACATACGGTATATTGTGTTAATTCGCACTTGTGAATTCGGCCGATATATGGTGTTAAGATGGCGACTGAGTAGAAAGTACCGCGATATTTTTTAAGATGGCAGCACGATTCAGTGTTGGTACAAAGTGCAGAAATGTTTTTAATATTTTTTTAATACTTATTCACATTGTATTGATTGACGTACCTAAATTGTTTATTTAAACATGTTTGAAGTTAATATTTAGACACACACGCGATGTATTATGCTTTTTTTGTATGTACATAGGCGACCAGGTATCTTGGTTCTTGTAAATGACACAGATTGGGAATTGTTGGTAAGTACGTTGTTTATTTTTGAAATAATTAAATGAAACATTTATATATTCTTCATATGTCTAACGTTTGTTATTATTCAATTCAAGCATAATAAAGTTACTGAATCCTGTCATTAGTTACAATACAATAGAATGACAAAAAAACCCTTATACATATTGGAATGGGTAGAGGTAGGCCTCCTGAATTCCTTTGCATTCACTTACACATGAATTACTTGTAAAAAGTCAATCTATTGTTTGTTAATTATACTAATCAGTTTTTGCTCAAATTTAATATGTAGTTAAAAACCGGTAGACAATAATACATATACATACCAAGTTATGAAACTTGTGTACAGGATAATCCAGGTAACTTGATTATGCTGAATAACATTTAAACTATCATCTGGAAGCTTCAAACAGCGTTTAAATGTTTACCTGCGAAACGAAGAAATTTTATTCCACGTGCTTTGCTTATCTTCATACACACAGAATCACCATCATTCTCGGTTGCACCGCCAGATACAAGAACACAGTTTGTATAATTCGAAAAGTTACCTCAGGGGATGCAAGCTACCCGGTTCATCCGACGTAGCGAGCCGGAAGCGGCGTTTCGTCACCGGAAAGGCAATAACGCGTTCCGTGTAATCACGGGTACGCATCTGCGCGCGACATATGACAAACGTCCGGCGAAAGTATATCTGCTCGACGGTTTTTCTTTTTGCTACGAGTGTCGCATAATCGACCTACGGTGTATATGTAGTTGGCCCGTAACCGTCCCGCCACTGTGAGCGCTGGAATAAGAGAACGGGAGCGTGGACGCGGTCGTGAAAGGGCGCAAATGACCCGGAGGCACGCCACACCCACGGTTGAAATTATCATTTTAAATTTGTAAATGTACAAAACGCGAGTGCTATTAGGATCGGCTTCCTGAAGCGCCCTCGAGGAGAAAGAGCCTCGCGAAATGGGTAGTGGGAGGGGGGTGGGAAGAGAGCTAGGTGTAGAGAGCAGACGCGAGAAAGATGATGGCTTTAGCCATTATTATGATAATACCAACGTTTCCCGAAGCTTCCCCCGCACGCTTCGACCGCCGCCGCGGCTAAACTCCTTGTCCTTTCTTCCTTTTTCCACCCCACCCCCCTTTCACGCAGCGTCACGTTGTCCTTTTCCCCACCACGTTCTCCTCCCGCCTGTGAGCTTGCTGCACACTCTCTCGCCCCGTTTTTCGTCATTTTCGGCTCGTAAATTAAAAGGGAGAGCATCGTTCCGGCTATGCTCTTGCACATTTTCGCTCGTATCATGTACCCTCTCCCCCCTGCGTCCCTCTTCGCGTGGCTTTTCCCGTGATTCGACAAATTTGTTCGTATGCCGCCTGGCAGTTGCGAGTTAAAGCGGATGGCCCGATGTACGGGAAGATACACTGGAAACGTTTCGGGCGGTATAGGATGGAGTCTCGATTATATGGAACTCGGGGATATTTTACGTGTTCCCGCGATTCCTGTCGAGTGAAGATGCGGGAATTGAGAATAAGTCGAATTTAGTGTGTATGAATCTTAAGCTTATTACTCCATAAAAGGATTTATTATCATTAAGGCAACATTGAATTCTAAACACCGATCCAGTCGATGTTCTTAATGATTTTACGAAAATTTCTAGGGAGAGGTGAATTACAAGCTGTGCTCCGGTGACACGGTACTCTTCATATCCACTTTGCATGGCGGATAAAAGGAGCAGAAGATTGCGATGGCGGCGGTCAACGACGAGGAATCACAGCGTGATTTTTCTCGGTTCTTTCGGGGAAAGTAAAAGTCCCCGTGCTTTCGTATCAAAGTAAGGGGGTCACGTGTAAGCGTGAACACAATGTCGGAGAATAAAATGCTCATTCGCACGACGTACCGTCTCTGATGTTCCCCGAGTAACGACTATAATATTACGGCTGACACTTTGGCCGTTGTCCAAGGATCTCCGTATTATTGCTCCTCTCCAACGTACCCTCCCCTGCTCTTTCCCCCTACATACAGCCAATGGGC